GTGGGCCACGGGCGCTGCGGGGAACCCTGAAGGCATCTGGGTACCTGCTGCTCCTGCAGCTGCCGGATGGTGCTCCGCGCCTTCTGCAGGTCCTCGGCTGCGGAACTGCACTGCTGCCGCGCCACCGCCAGTTCCCGCTTGATGACGTAGTTCTCCTCGGCCTCCTGCGCCCGAGTCACCTGGCCCTGAGCACAGGAAGGAGGGGGCTGTGACCCTCTGCTGGACCCCCAGGTCCTGCCTCCGGCCATAGGGAGATGAGAGAGTTTGGGCTTAGGGACGGGGTGGGGCAGAAGTGAGGGCAAGGCCTCCTGCACCCAGAGCCTGGGATGGGTCACCTAATGGGAGGCATGGGTGGGGCAGCTCCAGTGTACGCTAGATGGGGACAGGCAGGCATGGGACACCTGCAGGGGCCTGGGCAGCTCCGTCCCCTTCTTGGGCCTGGCTTGCGGCCTCTGTCCAAGGAGAGGCTTGAAGCAAGCCCTACATCCAGGGCAGCCGGCAGCCAGGCCTCTCCACCTGCTCAGGCTGCTTGGAGGGTGGGCTGCTTGGAGGGTGGGCAGGGGCAGGGTTTGCTCCTTGGGGCCAGCAGCCTTGGCTGGGCTGGTAGGTGGGTCACATGTCCCCTGGGGCCTCCCCACAGCCTCATCCCCTAACCCCACCCAACCTGGGTCCCCCATTCCAGGCTCGGAGCCACCAGGTGGCGGGTGGAAGCTTTAAGATAAAGCCATTCAAGATGACGTGGCAGCAGAAGCAGGTGGGTGAGAGAAGATGCCACGCCTTGCAGGTAAAGCAGAGAGCAGTGAGAGAGGCCAGCAGGGGGTGCTGAATGTGAGTGAGAATGTGTGTGAGTCCATTTGTACAAGGATGAGTGTGAGAGCATGAGTGAGCACATGTGTGTCAGTGTGTGTGTGTGTGTGTGTACTGAGTGGGAGTGTATGTGTGTAGTGGACAAGCTCAGCAAAGTGCACACACCAGGGCCTGCAGCTGACACACTCTTAGGGTCCCTGAGCCCTCCTTGGTCCCTACCAGCATCCCCTAGAGAAAAGGGACTTTGCACACATGCGTGAAGCTTCATCCCTACCCCCACATTTCCTCTCCATTTCACATGCCCCAGAGGAAGGCTTTTGTCTTCCCTGAAAAGCATCCCAGCTGCCCCCATGCACGGCGCCAGGCCTACCCCATCCCCTCAGAATGGCAGCGGCCAGGACAAGGCGGTGACTGGCTGTCATGTGCGAGGCAAAAGCCAGGAAGGGACTTGAACAGGGAGACAAAAAGCTACAGTACCTGGATTAACCTATCAGCCAGAGCAGCGCTCTCCTACCCGGTGGAGGGGGTCCGAGCGACAGGGGGAGGAGCAGAGCAGAGGCGCAGGGACAGGAGAGGGAGAGACAGACGAGAACGCTGGTCACTAACGCAGTGGGCTACTCTAGAAGCAGGGAGAGCAGAGGACCAGAGACCCAGCAAGAGAGGACCCGAGGAAGACCGAAGCCAGAGCCAGTCTGTCCTGGAGAGGGGTCTGGGTGCGGGTGGGTGGGAAGGGGGCCGGCCAGGATGCCCACCACCCCACCCTCCAGGTAGGGGACCCCGGTGCCTGGAATGTGAATGAGGAGGGGCCGCCTGCAAGGACTAGGGTGGAGGCCAAGACTCAAGGGGAGACTCCAGCTTTGGGTCAAGAGCAGTAGAATCTTGAGACGACCTGACTCCAGGATCAGGGGACAATGAGGACCCTCCTCCCAGGAGGGAGGAGGGGCAGAGAGCAGGTGCTCAGGGACTCCTCACCCTCCCCATCTTTAAAAAGCTGGGCTCCAGGGTCAAGGCTGTGGAGGCAGTGGGCCCCTTATACTCTACTCCGTGCTTTTTTTTTTTTTTTTTTTTTGAGGCTGAGACTTCCAAATTGCAGGGTGGGGTGCCCTGTTGTCCATTTCTGCGGCCCTTCAGTCAAAGCAGTTCTATCTGCCCCCACCTAAGTGGCCTGAGAGGACTGATCACCAGAAGTTGTGGTGCTCACAGTTAGCCCGATGACTAAACCCAACCACCCCAGGGTTAATTACAGTGCATAGCAGAGCAAGTGACGTTTCACCGCGGCCTCCAATTAAGCCGCAGCCCAAAGCCCCGGCCCTGTGGGGCTAATTCACACTTCAGGGGCCGGCCCTTGGCTGCAGGGTCCAGCTCGGTGTCTGGAGGATTCCGGCCACAAACTATTGGCCACGCCCCTCACCTTCTCCAGGGTCTCGATTCGCTGTTTCAGAAGCCGGTTCTCCGTCCGAAGTCTCTATGGGGGGAGGGGGAGGCATGTCAGACCCACCTCCCATTCGGGCACCCCCAAGCACCCACCCCCAGGGCAGGACCGAGCCCCTGCGAGCCAGCCAGCATCGTCCCTTCTCGCTCCAGACTTTCAGAAAACAGACAAGGGGTTAAGTCCTGGTCGGGAAATGAAATAGTCCATCCTGCTTCTAACTCCTGCCGAGCTGTCTGTCAGAGTAGACCTGGGCTCCACAGGGTTTCAATGGCTGGTATTTATTTTTTTTAGTAGCTTGCCAGGCTTCTCTTCCGAGGCACTTCTGGATGGACCCCAACTTTATTGGTTAGCGGTGGGGCACCCTTTGTGCTACCCAGGGGCTCCTTCCTATTTAGAAGAGCCATTACTTTTGTTTTTTTAAGCAAACCTTGGTTCCCTCAAACCACAGGCATCCCATTCCTGGTTGCTCCCTCCTTGGGAGCCTGTGTCCAGCCCACACTGGGGCTGATCCCAGGCCCCCCAGGCCCGTCTGGTAGCCAAACAGCAAAGACCTCTCTGTTTTTGGTGACTCTGCTGGCAGATCTCACCCGAGGGCAAGCGGCACTCAATGGTTGTCCCTTCCCTCAGTGGGGTTTGGGGACAGTCTCCCTTGCTTTTTGCTTTTCATTCTGCACTGGCAGATTCTGGTTAGTAGTTGTGGTTTTAGGCTACTCTGTGACCTTTGGGGATGCAGGGGAGGTGGCTATTGTTGGTCAATGGCCTTGAATTGGGCCGCTGTGACTCATGGTGACCCCACGTGCAGTGGAATGAAACACCCACTGGTCCTGCGCCATCCCAATGACCGGTTGTGGATTGGATCACTGTGGCCCATAGGGATTTCACTGGCTGACTTTTGAAGGGAGATTGCCAGGCCTTTCTTCCTACTGTCTTAACTTCGAAGTTCCACTGAAACCTGTTTGTCATCACAGCAACACACGGGCCTCCACTGAAGGCGAGGTGGTGGCTGTGCATGGCTGGAACCGAAACCCGTCTCCTGCACGGGAGGCGAGAATTCTCCCACTGAACCATCAGTGTCCTTGGGTGAGGTTTGCATATGTCTTATTTCCAGTCCCTCCCTACATGCCCAGAAGAAATTAGACACAGATTTTGTTCAGATTAGCGAATTAGTGAGGACCCTGCCTCCCTGTGAATCACACACGAAATTCCCTGGTTTTCACACAAAAATGACCAGAATTACTGGTCGGATAGAGGCTGATGGATCCCAGGACTATGGCCCCAGGTCCTCCTATGGGCCTGGAACTGGACTCACTTCTGTGTGGGCTCTCAGCCCAACAGCAGCAAGATCTATGTACAGAACACCTACACCAGGGTGGTGCACCCACCTACCCTAGGGAGATGCACCCCTTAGATCAATCAGCCCTGAGACATCAGAGGAGAGCATTTGCATAGAGAGAAAGCTGGACAGACAGGAATGCAGAGACAAGAAGGGCACAGGGAGGGGGGAAACCATAGGAAGAGAGAGGAGGAGAGCTTTTTTTTTGGTTGGGGATTGTAATCGGGGTTGTGAAACCAAATGTGCACGAACTGTTGTGTGTAAAATGAATCTGCTTTGTAATCTGCCCCCAGATCACAATTAAAAAAAAAAATTAAGGATCATAAAATTCCCTGTTTTTCTTCCTGGGAGAAAATGCGATGGAAACATTCATAAGATTCCCAGGAAGCAAGGGTGGTCACAGAAAATCTAGTCATTGACTCATTTCATGGTGGTGAAACTGAGTCAGAGTGGGTAGCTGGGCTCAGAGCTGTAACGTTACAGCTCAGTCCTGCCCTCTGGCTTCAACCCACTGGAAGCAGGTGGAGGTGCCCCGCCCACCACCATCTCTTCTACTGCAAAGGGCAACCAAGAGAGAAGGAGTGAGGGAGAGATCCTCGGAGGTAAAGGGAAAGAACAAGGGTCAGGTGGTGACAGAAGGCATCTGCCTAAATTCTTTAAGGCTCTCCTATTATCTGCTGGGGAACCTGCAGGCTGGGCATGTGGCCTGAAGACCTGCTGTGCCCCTCACAGTCATTAGATGGCAGCAGGCCCTTGTCTGTAGGCAAACGACACACACACACACACACACACACACACACGTTTGGACCGGTGCATCAGTTAGGCTGCCATTACTGAGAGAGGAAGATGCTAAACAAATCAGGATCCAAGAGCATTTCTGGAAACCTACACTGCGGGCAGGACGAAGCTGCCCTCCTCCCCACTCAGGAGAGATTTCACTGGCTGCTCGGAGGCAGATGAGCCAGACCCTCATCTGGGTTCTACCCCGGCCTTTTCAGGAACAGGCTGAGGATGATGGTCGTAGTAATAATAATAATAATTTGAATAGCAGAGCAAGTATCGTCCTCATTTTGCACAAGGGAACAGTAAGGTTCAGAGAGGTGAATGCACACAGCTGTCTGTGGCGGAGCTGGGACTCGAACTCTGGTCAGTTGTACTCCAGTCCGAGCCCTTGTGTGACTGCCACTGAAGAGGACAGAGCCAGGCTGTGCTGGAGTTTTTTCGTGTCTGTCTCCTCACTGGCCTGGGGGTGCCCAGTCTCTGCCGTGACTGGCACACAGCAAGTGCTTTATAAATGCTTGCTGACTGAGTAACCTGTCACATGTGCAGGGGTGGAAGTAGAAGGAAACAGAGAGAGGGGAGCCTGTGTGCAGAGGTGAGCAGGGCTTGGCCCATGTGTCCTGGTGTCTGATCCCTGATGACCTTGGGGTCTCTGCTCTCAGCCTCTGGATATCCTACAGCTGCCAGCATGCTGCTGCTTTGAGCCTTCTGCCCTGGGTTCCCAGCACCTGGTGCCTGGCACACTCCTCCCGCCACCCCCAGCTCTGACCCAGTATCCTCTACCGGCCTGCACACGTGGTATGGAGCACTTCACAAAGGGCACACACTATGTTTATCAGCCTTCTCCCCACTGTGCTCAGGAGGACAGGGATCATGGCTGCCTTGGTCACCGCTGTTTGGGATGAGAACAGGGCCTGGAGCTGGTAGGCTCCTGCACTGTTGTTGTTGTTGTTATTTGCCATCGAGTCGACCCCGACTCATAACGACCCATCCTTGGGTTTCCGAGGCAGTATCACTACGGAAGTAGGAATGCCCAATCTTCCTTCCGAGGAGTGGCAGGTGGGTTTGAACCACCACCAGCCTTCTGGTTAGCAGTCAAGTGCTCCCCAGAGGGGGTGAGCAAACAGGCGGTTGGCTCAGGGCAGGACTCAGGTCCTCCCTACATGCGTGGCAGGACTGCCCTCTAGTGGCCGCTGGCTGGTGTGCAAGCCCCCAGGGCCCATGCCTTGCCCTGTGCAGACTCACTTTGATCTCTATCTGTTCCTCCATCTCCTTGCTCTTCATGGCGGCATACTCCTTCTCCAGCCTGCAGAAAGGGAGGCTGACGTGGTCGCTGTCCTGCCATCATGGATGCCCCAGCCCCCCAGACTGCTGGCTTGGCACTGACCTCTTCATCTTCTTGGGGTTGTACTTGATCTGGTAGGCCTTGAGGATCAGCTTGTCCGGGCAGCTGTCAAACTGGTGGGGAATCACCCTCTGGAAGTACTGTGGGCACACAGGCGGTCACTGAGATGTGGTGCTGACCATGAGCCTGCCGAGCCCCTGTGGCTTCTGCCTGTTTGGGGGGGCCTGGGTGCTTGGTGAGGGTGGACTGTCTGGGCTCTGCCATGGCCTGGTGCAGGGCCTGGCCTGGGTGGATGCTTGGCCACGCTCATGGGGCAGCCAGGCTTCTGTGTCCAGAAGGACACAGGCTGGGGCATCCTGAGGGTGAAGACTGCACCTGGGTGGTGTCTGAGCACCCAGGACCTTCTTTGAGGGATGGGGTGGGAGGACCAGCAAAACCCAGACAAGCAGGGGCAAGGGGAAGGCAAGGCGTCAGATAGCTGGACCAGCCCCGGGGAGGTCCCAGAGAGGTTGGCCCGGCTCCTTGAGCCTCAGCAAAGGGTTAAGCGTCAGTGGCAGTGGCCACAGCTTGTTGAGGTTCGGGGGCAGCCTGGGCCTGCTCCCCTGCCCAGCTGGCCCTGTCCAGCAGCTGCGGACAATGGACACCCGTGTCTGCAGACACAACCGTGGCCTTTGTGCATTCTTTCCCGGGCGCCAGCTGGAGGGCTCTGAGGGGGCAGGGCCTGCGTGGCGGGATGGGGTGGCGGGAAGCAGGCAGCCCCTCCCCCAGTGCTCAGGCAGGGCAGGTGTGGAGCTGTGCGACCCCTCACCCCTGCTGTGCCCTCCCTGGGCAGGTCGGCTGGTGCAGAAATCACATCCCGTGGTTTGGCTAGCCCAACTGTTTACCAGTGGGGAGGTTCAGGCTTTGGGGGACCTGGAGCTGGGGGAAGGGGAGGAGGAGGAGGTGGGACCATCCCCAAGCCTCTTCCTGGCCAGGGCCTCCCTCTGTCACTGTGGCAGAGACTGCTGCTCTGGACCCCCTGGTTCCTACAGGGAGGGCAGAGCTGGTAGGAAGAGACCATGGACACTCAGGGCTGCCCCTCCCCCAATGTCGTCGCACCCCTTCCCCTGGCTCACCTGGGACATCCCCTCCATGTCCAGCTGCATCAGCTCCATCTGGTTCACCTGCAGCAGGGCCAGGCCCACCCGGAACACAATCTCCAGGCCCTGTGAAGGCAGTGGCGGCACTGTGTCTCCCATCCTGCTCCCCCAGGCGCCTTCCCTCTGCCCAAACCCAGGCCCTTCCCCAGCCCAGGATTTGTCTCCCGCGTGGTGTAAGAAGCGCTGAGTCCAGAGCCTCCCAGCCTGGGCCAGGTTCTCACCTCATACATGAAGATGTCGAAGATGCGGGTGGCCACGGGCAGCGGGAAGGTGGTCAGGAAGAGCGTGAGGAACCAGGATGAGGCATACATGGACGTGTGGAAGCTCTGGGAGCGGAAGTGGGTGTTCAGGTCCGGGAGCTGCTCCTGCAGGTGAGGGAGGCAGGTGCTGTGAGGAGGGCCCTGGGCCGGCTCTCCATGCCCACCTCTCCCACCTGCTTGGGCTGAGCTCAGTGGTGCTGCTCCAGGGATCCTTCCCCGACTGCCCAGCAGCCCTCGTCTTCCCTCCTCTGCTCCTGAGCAGTACATCATGTGCACGAGGCCAGAGCTCTCCAGAGTTTCGAGCTCCACAAGTTGGACATGCAGGCGGGTGGTGAGCAGCTGGCGGGAGTTGGGTGCACACCCTGGGCAGGTGCTGGCCTGACTGCTCCATTGCCAACAGCCAATGAATCGGCAGACCACCCCAGAAGAAGATTCCGAGCCTCAGATTGATGACATAACTCCCCAAAGTTCAGCTAGAAAGTGACATCGAGCCCACAGCCCCTGGTGTGAGCTCAACACAGCCCATGCACATCACGTGCTGTGTGGGTCTGAGACACCCCTCTGCCTGTCTGTCTCCACCTGCAGCTCCCAGCACAAAGCTGGGCCCTGCTGAGGTCGGTGGATGCCTGATGTCTTGGCCTAGACTCCCACAACCACTGAGAAATGACAGGCCACTGGGGAAGTTGGATCAGAGAAGGCATCAGGATCCCCTAGATGTCCTTTATTAGGGGAATGGACTCTTGGTCTCTTCCACCCACCTTGCCTGGATTAACATGGCGTCAACTACTTCCCCGTGTGGGAGGTCTCAGCTACCTAGCCTTGGGTGAGGTTGGCTGTTCCCCTGGGTGACAGAGACACCTGCTGTGAGTCCAGGGCACCCACTAGCCAGGATTGCCAGGTCATCTCCAACGCAGCACTCCCTGTCCTCCAACCTGACGAGTGGGGCCTCACAGCTCCACCTGCACGCAGCTTTGAAGTGCGTGCACATGCGTGTCCGCTTTGTCTGCCTGCCAGGAGCCAGGGCCTGTGGGGGCTGCTATTTATAAACAAAGCTCTGTGCAGCTCCCCGGTAATCAGCAGAGGCAGGCAGACGACACTGCCCCTCCTCTCCATACTTCCAGAGCAGACAGGAAGGGGCCATGGGTGGTGTGTCCGAGCGCCGAGCCCACTCCACGCCTCCGCCTCAGTGGCCTGGAAACTGGGGCCCTCAGGAGCTCTACTTTAAGTGGCTGGTCCTTTGGGGGAGGGCCACACAGCCCCTTGTGAGCTGGGATGCGTGGATGTGCTGTCTGAGCCCCGGGGGCCACCTTGGTTAGCAGTGGGGCCTGTGGCCAAGGGGTAAGGCCGCAGGGGGGGTTGGCCGGCGGCGCTCACCTGCAGCATGTACTCGAACTGGTAGATGCAGAGCCCCAGCTCAGCCATGCTGGGCTTGAAGAGCTCCCGGAGGCGGTACTCCTGCATCAGTCGGACGAACACACAGAACGCTTCCTCCTCGGGCATCTGGGAGGCACGGGTGGAGACGGGCGAGGGGACTGGGCAGCGAGGGTGTGCTCGCTGCTCCTCTCATGCCCTGGTGGGCGGCACTTCGCCCCAGGCCTGTTTCTGTTCCATTTACGTGTAATGGACACTGACTGTGCCCAGTGACCAGGCTGAGCTGGCCCTGGCTTTCCCTGGCTCACCACGAACCTCTGGGTAAGTATCGCCACCTTGCTTTACTGAAGGAGAACCTGAGGCTTAAGGAACCTGCCGAAGGCCACACAGTAGAAAACTGGAGCTGGGACTGGGTGTGGCCAGCACCAGAGCACACATTCTCATCTACTTTCCACTTTCAACTGTCTCCTTCTCCCTTCCTAAGCCTCTGGCTTCTCTGGAGGAACATTCCAGGCCCTATAGATGTGACACTGGCTGACTCAGTCCCTGACCTGAGTTCTCCGTCCAATTCTAGGAGGTGATGGAGGAGGGCAGTCTGCCCCAATGGTACAGTGGACAGGACCCAGCCAGGACAGGTGTCCAGCTGCTCTGTGTCCATCCACTAGGGGCTTGGCTGGGGACTATCAGAGAGCAGAGGTGGAACACTCTGCTGGGGGCAGGGCCTGGTTCCTGGCCACCTACCTGCATGAGGAGCAGGCCCACGATAAAGGCGCTACCCTGGCAGTAGCCCACCTCGCGGTCCACCAGGGAGTAGGCCTGGAAGGGAACACAGTGGTATCAGAGCAAGGTCCTGCAGGCCGCAGAAGCAGGCAGGGTGGGAAGTGCTGCTTTGCGTAGGCCCTGAGGCCAGGCCCAGGGGCAGGAAGCCTAGGCAGTGGAGGACAGGGGCCCGGGACTGCTGGTATCACCTTCATGACGTTAAAGAGGACCTCCTGACCCAGGCTGTCCTGGCCCTTGAAGAACTCATGCTCTGGGTAGGTGCGGGCGATGTCCCTGCGGATCAGCTTCTCGCAGGGTGATGACATCTTGAGCAGCTCGGAGTACTGGTTCTTGACAGGCATGTCCGTGGCGCTGCACAGAAGCTGCCACACGATGGCCCGGAAGTGGTGCGGGATGCCCTTTCGAATCAGCTCCTGGGATGGGCAGGCGGGCAGTGGGAGGATGGGCTGGACCCTGCCCCAGGCCAGCCTTCACATGGCCACCCCAGCCACCATGTGAGATGTAGCTGGCCCCCGAGGTGCTCATGGCACTGAGCTTGTCCACAGTGCTTCACAGACCTAGCAGCAGAACTTTGTGTGTGCTGGGATGCAGAACTCAGTGACCGGCCACCTGCCTATGCAGAGCCCCCTTGCTCTCTCCTCTCCCACTGCCTTGGCAACAAAACCGACTCACGGCGCCCCCAGGTGTGTCAGACTAGAACTGTGCTCCACAGGGTTTTCAATGGCTGAGTTTTCAGAAGGAGATCACCAGGCCTTTCTTCCAAGGCACCTCTGACTGGACTCAAACCTTCAACTTTTGGTCAGCAGCAGAGTGCTTAACCATGTGCGCCACCCAGGGCCTCCATGTGTGACAGCCTAGAAGTGCCTACACACCTGCACCTGCCCTGTGCACAGGCTGGGGCCCCTGGCAGGCCCTGCCTCACCTTCCTGGTGTCTCTCACCGTGGCCTGCCAGCTGTGGGGCCTGGCGTCTCACAGTACCCAATGACTGTGCTGGTGCTGCCCACCCGCCCACTCCCGCCACCTTGAGCAGCTTCTCCTTCCTGCGCCGCCACTCCTCCCATTCGTTGGCGATGCGGCCCCACAGGATCCACGTGTCCTCTTCCAGGTGGCTCAGGTTGGAGGAGGCTGAGGAGCTGGACACCAGCGAGGAGCCGCTGTTGCGCCGGGAGCCATTCATGGAGCGCATGGATTTGGAGTCAGCCTCCAGGAGCCTGGGTAAGAAGGGCTGTCAGAGTGAGGGGCCAGGGCACAACTTCTGGGGTGCAGGGAGCCGCTAGGGAGCCCAGTGCCTCCAACCAGGGTCCAAGAGGATGCCGAGAATGGGGTCTGTGTCACTTCTGCTGAGGGGCTGGAGTAGCTTCTGCTGTGTGACTTTGGCTAGTCACTTCACCTCTCTGAGCTGTGATTTTTCTCATGTGTCACCCCTGAAGCAGCTTCTGTTCTGTCTGTTCCCATTAGGTGCCGGGCTCTGGTCTGAGCACCGTGTGTATCAGCTCATTTGACTGTCCTACCCTACCAATCCTGCAGGCCACACTCTGTGATGACCCCCACTTTATGGGTGAGGCACAGAGAGGGTGAGCCACCAGTGGAAGGTGCACAGCTAGCAAGGAGCAGAGCCTGAGAGGCGTGTGGAAAAGTTCCCTGGAGGCTGAGGCTTTAGCTTCCTCCCCTCAATAAGAAAATCAAATCAGTTGCTGGAGTCGACTCCAACTCATGACAACCCTGTGTGTCAGGGTAGAACCGTGCTCTACAAGGTTTTCAGGGGCTGGGGTTTTGGAAGTGGATCACCAGGCCTTTTTTCTGAGGTGCCTCTGAGGGGACTCAAACCAGTAGCCTATGGGTCAGCAGTGAGCGCATAGGCAACAGCTAGATCCACTCCATCTCTCGGAAACTGTCTCCTCACCTGAATGGTGGGGATCAGTTACTCCCTTGGGGCTGGGAGGAGGAGGAGAGATGGTACCTCTGGGTAGCTGCGACTTTGCCTGGGGCCTGGCTCCGATCCCGGATGCAGGGGCGCCCAGGAGCTCCCGGGTGGGGCCCGGGCTGCGGCCCGACCCCGCCCTGCCACCCAGGCCCCAACTCACCGGTTCTGCTCTTCGAGTTTGGCCAGCAGCTCCAGCTCATCGGGGCTGAGGTTCTCGGAGTCAGAGGTGGGCGAGCACGTGGGGGCTGACAGGGCCTCGTGCGACGAGGAGTCGGGGCTCAGAGTGGGGCTCGCCATGGCAGGCAGACTTGTCAGCTGTGACGGGGGCCGCCGTGTTACAGCTCTGCCTGTGGGATGGAGACATGCAGGGTGAGCGCTGAGTGGGGTGCCCGCCCGGTCCTGCTGGCTTGGGGGCTTCCCACCTCCAGCCTGCCCACTCTGTGCACCCCTGCTTCTACCCCCAGCCAAACTGGGCCAGCTCCTTCTGCCCACACTCTGGCCACCTCCCTGCCCGGGTTGTCGGGCTGGATGCCTGGATGGAGGCAGGAGGACCACAGCCAGGATCAGAGGCCCCTGCTGTCCCTGGGCATGAGGGCCAAGCTCAACTGAGCACCCCAAGTCTTCAGGGCCCAGGCAGAGGCTCCCTGTCACTCAGGGGCCCCAGGATGTGCTGGGCGTGGGGTGCAGGGGCCTCTGCTTCTGAGGCCCGTCCTGACAGCCTGTCCCTGCTGCAGCTCGCCAGCTCTGATGCCCAGCATCAGCATCTGACCTTCCCCATTTTATCAGCCAAAGTGGGCTGCTGGCACAGCCAGAGCAATTATTTTCCACTGTTAATTGTCTGGCACTGACAACGGCTGGAAGCGCCAGAAGCACCAACTCCCCTTCGCTAGGAAGCCAGGGACACAGCGGGGGTGCTGGGACTCTGAGCCTTGCGGCACCTGGAGCAGGTGTGGGCTCGAGTCAGCGTCCTGGGCTCTGCCTGCATTCTCCCCAGGGTGGTCTGGCCTGGCCCTCCTGGGGCCTCAAGGACATGGCCCTCTGGCTGTCTGCCAGGCTTGAGGGAGGCAGATCAGCATGGCGTCGAAAGCCCAGTCTTTGGCTCATGTGCACCTGTGTCTGAAACTGTGTGATCATGGGCTGGTTACTTCACTTCTTGGAGTCTACAGACTGAGGCTCACACCTCAACCCCGGGGAGCGGGGGTGATGTGAAAGTCAGTACCGGAATGAACACCATTTGCTCAGAACAGTGCTGGGGACAGACACCAGCCACTATCATCCAGCCTGGACCCAGAGTCTGAGGTTGCTGGGTTCTGCCACGCCCTGTGTGGGGCTGGCACCACCCTGGTGGGAGACTCTAGAGATTAGGAATGGCTCCGGGTGAGGAGGCATGGGCAGGGACGGTATTCCTTCTGCTCAGCCCTGCATTGTGAAAGCTGGAAGACAAACCTGCTACCCACCCCGCCCCAACTCTTACGCTGTTGCCCTGCCTGCCCCAACTCCTGCACTCTCTGGGCCATGAGTCTTCCTGCTTCCCGGTACAACTGGACCCCCACCTGCCCTGGCCCCCTGGGGAAGGGGCAGCTGGTCCTCCCGCAGGCAGGGGGATGGTGTCAGGACAGCAGCAGACCACCTCACACCTGCCTGGCCACCTTCAGGCCACTGGGCACATTCCCACAGCAGAAGCTCAGCCCCGACCAATACCCGAGCCCTGGCCAGCTGGACTTGACCCCAGTCAGCCGCTCATTCCAGCCTTCCTTCCCCTGTGCTGCCCTGCCGGGGTGGGGGAGTCACTGTTCTTTCACCTCCTGAGGGCCCAGAGCCTTCCCTCCCCAGGGCCCACGGCCCCCCAGTGCCCCTGGTTCTACCTCTGGCCCACAAGGCCTCCTCGGTCTGTTGGGCACTGAGGGCCCTGGCTTTGGCGAGTCATACGAACTCTGTAGCAGCTCCCGGCAGAGCCAGGATAGCTTTCCTTCCCATCGCCCAGTGGGCCAGGGACCACTTGCCCTGAGGTCAAGTCACTGTGTGCTGCCTACCAGGGTTAATCATTCCGGGGCAGGGGCGCCAGGACTGCTCTGGAGCCTTTGGCAGAGTCAAAGTCTGTGGCCAGGCGCAGAGACGGGGGCTGAGGCCGAGAAGCGCTGAATCGGAGGGATCTCTGAGCAGGCAGTGTGGGCGCCCAAACTTCAGGGTTGGGAGGGTGGGAAAGGGGTGGAGCCTCAGAAGCCCAGCTGGATTTGGAGAGCGACCACTGGGCAGTAGAGGGGTCCAGTCCTGGAGCAGGCCAGTCCCCACCCTGAGACCACAGAGCCTCTCTGGGCCTCTGAGAAAAGCAGGGCCATCGACTAGCTATCTGTGTAGCTATTTCTCACACGTGAATGCGCATCCATCCAGGAAATAACGTGCATTGAACACACAGGCCTGGAATTTGCAGTCTGAGATGCGGGAACCTCCTGATTCTCCAGGAACTTGCTTCTACTAATCCCGTGTTCTCTAAACACTGCATGGCGCTGGAAACTATCCTCTGAGCACATGCATGTGCAGACATGAAGACAGGCACATGCACATGCTCTCACTCACACACGCACACTCCTGCACTGACCAGACTTCACCCCTGGGCACCCAATGGGTGTGTGAGGGAGGTGTCACTGCCCCAGCTTGGTGGCAGGTGTGTTGCTGCTCCAGAGAGGCATGGCCCCCCCACTGACTCAATCATTCATCTCCCCTGTTTCCTGAGGGCTTTCTCCAGCTGGGGACCATCCTGGGTGTGGGATGTGGAGTGGAACTTGGTGGTGAGGTCATGCGGCCATTGCCCACCCTTGCTGGACAGACATAGAAGTGCAAAGGCAGGGCAGACCCCTGGAGTGGCGAGGGGCCACCGGCCCTCACAGTGCCATCCCTGGACCTCCCAGTCTGCCCCCCAACTTTCTTATTTTCATCCTTTCACCTCTGTTCCACCTCAGCCACCTGCTCCCACAGCCCAACCTAGACCCTGCCACAGGGGACATCTCAGTCACTGCCTGTCCACTCCCTTTCTGGGGGGCATCCTGGTCCCCACAGAGCATGCACTGGGCCACCTAATCCTGTCCCTGTTGGCACTGCCTCCCACCATGCCTCCCCAGGGTGGTTCACAGCTCATGGAGCTGAGCCAGGCCAAAGGGACGAGAGGCCTGTGACGACACCCTCCACCCACCCAGCCAGAGGCCTGGCTGACCCTCTTTCCCTCTTGGGTTCCAGAGTCTGTCAAGTCTGCTGCTCAAATCCCCCCTCCCTCCAAGCCCATCCTCTCCAGCCCCAAAGCCACTGTCTCGATGTTATCTTCCCACATCCAGTTCTCATCGGGCTCTCCGTCCCTTGCCACGTTCTGCCCCCAAGGCCATTAGAACCATGAAGAAAAGCAAGTCTGACCATGTTACCACCTGTCTGTCAGTCTGTCCTACTGTGATGCCTTGCATGTTGCTGTGATGCTGGAAGCCGTGCCACTGGGAATTCAAATATCAGCAGGGTCACCCACGGTGGATAGGTTTTAGCAGAGCTTACAGACTTGAAAGACTAAGAAAAAAGGCCTGGCAACCAACTTCTGAAAAATCAGCCGATGAAAACTTTATAGATGACACAGAAGATGTCTGATACAGTGCTGGACTGCTGGAAGGCACGCAAAACCCACAGTGGCGGCAACAACGGACTCAGGCACACCAGCCACCATGAGGAAGGACGAAGCTGGACAACACCGTGTTCTATCGTATGTGGGGCCACCTGGAGTCCGAGCTGACTTGACAGCAACTAACAACAGTAACAACCGTGTTATTCACATGCCCCACACCTTCTGGCTGTTCCCCACTGCAGGATGGAGCCCAAATGCTTTTGTACAACACGCAGGACTTGAGCAGCCTCGCAGCATCAGGAGCCGGTGGTGGCTCAGTGGCAGAAGTCTCACCTTCCACGCAGGAGACTTGGGTTCGATTCTCAGTCAGTGCACCTCATGTGCAGCCACTTGTCTGTCTGTCAGTGGGGGCTTGTGTATTGCCAGGATGCTGAGCAGGTTTCAGCGGAGCTTCCAGACTAAGATGGACTAGGAAGAAAGGCCTGGTGATCTCCTTCCAAAAACCCCCAGGGAAAACCCTGTGGACCACAACGGTCCGATCCCCAACCAATCCTGGGATTGCTGCAGGACCAGGCAGTGATCCGTTCTGTGCAGATGAGGTCACCGTGAGTCAGGGGCTGACTCAACAGCAGCTAACAACAACAATGAGAACGTAGCATCTGGCATACTGTAGGTGCTCAGTAAATGTCTGTTGACTAAATGAAGACAGAAATTTCTGTGCTGCTCAATCAGGAGATCAAGGTCAACATCATCAGTGATAAGTCATATTAAGTGCATTTGATAAGTGATAAAAATGGCACTTTACCTCTGTGGGCTTCCTCTCTGTCTAATCTTGACCAAACAGACAAACCCATTCTACAAAGTCCCTAACCTTTACTCCTCAAGACTGTCAAGGTCAAATACAAGGCAAGTCTGTGAAACTCACAGCCCTGGGGAGCCCACAAAGACATGACACTAAAGGTTATGTGAATCCTAGACTAAAAGAAGGGCATTGGGGAAGTCAAAGGAAATCTGAATAAAGCAAAGACTTCCTTGACTAACAATGTATCAGTTTTAAGGAATGCGCCACCCTAATGTAAGCTGTTAATAACGGGGAAATGTGGTGTTCAGCATACAGGAACTCTCTTTTCCACCTTTACAAGTTTTTCGTAAATCTCAAACTGTTCTATAAAATAAAGTCTATTTAAACATTAAAACCAAACCAAGCAAAGGTCCTGAGGTGGTGAAGACCGACGAGTGAATGACGCTTCCATTGTGGGAGAAGTGCCATAGCGAACAGCAATCTGACTGATTCTTTCGACTCAGCTGTAAAGGAACAAGGATTCGAACGTGGCCCTCTGACTCTAGTGTATGTGTTCCAACTCACTGCACTGTGCCACCGCCCTCTCTGGATTCTTTTACTGTAGAAATGATAGACAGAAAACAGAGCGCAGCAAAACCAGTGGCCGTCAAGTTGACGTGGGCTCACAGTGACCCCGTGTGTGTCAGAGCAGAACTGGGCTCCACAGGGCTTTCAAGGCCTGATTTTTCAGAAGTGGATCACCAGGCCTTTCTTCCGAGGCACCTCTGGGTGGACTCAAACCGCCAATCTTTTGGTTAGCAGTTGAGCATGTTAACCACTTGTGTTGCTCAGGGACACCACCAAGCGCAGTAACACAAACTGTAGTCAGGATTTTCCAGTGGGGAGAGTGAGTGA